TAGGTATATTATAATCCAACAAAACACGACACAAACAAACATTCCACAGCAATAGTGAGACTCTTCTTCAGTGCAGGGCAGCGGTTACATCTCATGTGTTTGGGTGGGAGTGCGTCAAGCGGCAAAAGTGGCTACGAAACAAAACCAAAGAATGTTGCACAATCGACCGAATGTCACATCCAATTTTTGCTTTTTTGCAGCATTTTTGCTTGCTTTTGCAAGTTACTTTGTAAGCACTGAAACATTCCACCCTGACCCAAGAAGTCGTGATGAGGTGACTTGGGCGCAAAAACATTTTTAATCGACTGGATTGGCTGGGTCAGAACCTGCACTCGGGTCTCAGTGTTGCGTAAATTTTGCGTCCTCGACGTTCCAGACATTCCAGCTGACTGCTACGAGACATTTAAACGCACTACTGCTGACCCTAAACTTGCTGACAGGTCCCGACCTCTCGTCTGATTAGCTGGAGTTTGAAATATGACCTATACGCTATACCTTGTCCGCCGCGTGACAGTTCAGGGCTGTCTTAGAACGGTCGGCGGGACACCTCCAGAGGGGCACTGTCCGGTCGCTCTGTTACGATAGTTTCCCACAGGCGCACCGCGTGGGTGGGTTGGTTTAATGGTTCTGCGACATTGGTGTTATGTCCATGCTACTACTCTAGGGGAAGCGGGGGTAGCACCGCCATGTGGGAAACACCGCCATCCTCTCTATCGGCAAAACTCTGAAGTGTAAATGTACCTAAACACCCGCCATTTCGGTGTCCGAACGGAAACGGGACGCCGCGTGAGGTAGGTTTCGCTAAGATTTATTTGATTTTGAGATCGCAATTGCCCATTTTGTGAATTTCAAACCATCGTTGTAATCATTTGGCATGTTTTAGCAGCAAGTAAGTGGTCATTTCAAGTCAAAATGCCTTGATTTTATACGTTAGATTTGAGGGCATGAAGTGCTCTTCGTTTAGAAAGGAATTACAGAAGAATCGCGTCCCGGCTTGTTTTCCCGTCGGGGCGTTGTCGGTCCATGACTGTGTGTGGGGTAACACCGCCATGCTCGGCGGTGCTACCCCAAGGGATGGCAAAATGGATAAAGCCGCAATGATGAATCACTCAGCTCGGAGAAGAGCTTTAGTTAGGCCGCAAACGTCGTATGTTTTTTAACCTCACGTTTGACTTCACTGGATGTTTCGAAATAAACGTGAATTTGTCATGCTTTGTATGCATATTGTCCGCAACAAACAGTCTTGATCTGTGACAAACTAACAACCAACTCTTGTGTGTCTTATATGAGTTTGAGTTACTATTTCAGACAGCAGTAACGCTTCTAAAGGTGGCTGTCACCGTAAGGCCGATCTGTGGATAACATCGCCATCAGTGGCGGTGCTACCCGCACATTTTTTGGAGGACGGAAAATGCAGGACTTGTTTTCAATGTCTGTAAAGTAGCGAAATTTTATAATGGAGCGCTGGAAACTATACCAACATGTAGGAAAACATTTCTACTTTCACATGAATGCAAAAGAGCTTCGTTTTTACTACGCATATCAGCTCGGTGAGCAGAAATGCTTAAGGTGGCGGTGCTCCCCCCGCTTCCCCTACTTGCAGCTGAGGATGAGGTACCCAAGTCTACATATATTGATTTTTCGCATGCTGCAGTGAATACCTATCCTAAACGGCAAATTGCAGTGGTGATGGCACTTGAGTCCGAGCGTTGGGGTGGAAAGTGGAAGGGTTTAGCACAAGGTATCGAAAAAGATCAAAACTCGATCTTCATATGCCCGGCTCCCCTGGCCCTGTCCGTTTATTTGGTCCGCTTTATGGTTACAATATCAGATTGCGTAAGTGCTCGAAAATTCAGCACACTCTCAATCATTACTACATGCTCGCTCCTGTATTGTTCGTCCACTTCCCTATGTATTGAGCGGCCCGGACTTCGTGTGTCGCCGGTCGACCCCAATAGCACGTTGTCGGCTGCACGACGCACGTGACCGGCGCCACCCGGCCCTGCCTGACGGGGCCGCGTCTGTCAGTCGCTGTGGGCACCGATCTGACCGATGACAGCCTGGTTACGCGGTGTACGGGCCGGAGTCACTCGCATACTGATCCGCCCGCTCCCGGATCTGCGGGCTCCGTCTGGCCGCGGCCGGCCGTCGGGCCGTCGCAGCTCATATAGCTATCACTGTCACCGGCGCGTCGACCAAGGCTATCCGCGGTCGACGGGCGGACAGGGACCGCCGTAAGAGCTCACTCCAGCCTGGTGACAGACGGACGGACGGACGGCCGTTCGATACGTTCTCAGGATCCTCTCTCCGTCTGTCACCAGGACGGCCGTTCTGGTGACAGACGGACGGCCGTTCGATGCCTCTCGGCCGAGATTGACCGTCGGCTCACCGCCCCTCCCGCGCGTTTTCATATCTGGGGGAGGGGGGTCGTCACTCTGACCGGTCCGCCTCCAAATGACGTCAGGTGACGGGCTGCAGATGACAGATGACAGGTGACGGTAGATGACAGGTGACGGCGAGCCGCGACTGTCATAGCTCCACTCAGCGGTGGTCGCAGGCAGCCGTGTATGTAGTTTGTGTCTGGAGCTGAGGCCAGTGACAGAGTGATGAACGTGGCCCGGCCTGCCATTCATTGTATCGAGTCGTCGCCTCCTGACTGTGGGGTCGGTAGTAAGACAATAAATACACCACCAAACGGACGGTGTACGACGCAGTCGGCAGTCATCGGCGCACCGGCGTTTGTTTGCTGACTGGCGCGGCGTAGCCACCCGGCGCCAGCTCCCACCTTCCGTGACGGGAGGTCCCTCAGCATCAACAGCAATAATATTGCTACGTCATGCATACCTATCATGTATGACGTATATGTCGTAGGCATCGGGTGAAATCCGGCATTTCATGAAATGTCTAGGCATTACATGGAATGCCGGCAAAAACTGAAATCTTCGTAGAAATACGGGCGTTACAGCGAATGCCTGAAAATTTTAGGCTTTTCATGAAGTGCCAGGCGGAGGCCAGGCACTCCCTGAAATATGGTCAAAACCAATTGAGTACACTCGTCGCCTAGGCATTACATGAAATGCCCGACTGACGGCCGGCACTTTCTGAAATGATTACCGCAGCTATGTGGTTTCCCACGCTTGGCCTGAGAGAGGCGTTCCGAGAGCAGTCACTTTTTGGAGGGCAAGGGATGAAGCAGTGTGCATGCCGGGCCAGCGCCAAACAGTGCAACACCAAGAGGTGCAAGTGCCGTAAGGCTGGAATGATGTGTACGAGTCGGTGCCACGCGGAGCTCCCATGTGTCAACAAATAATAAAACAGTTCTGGAACCTTTGGTTTGAAAATGCGGTCTCTGTAGGAGAGTTTCCAGACGATATTTTCTATTTTACTGCCTATGGACCAACACAGCAGACCCCACACTTCAGAGAAACCCGATAACTGCACAGTGTAATATTTGTGTACTAGCTAACAATAAAGTAGGTACGCTGCAGACGAGACGATCCGTGAAATATATCGTAGTGCTAGCCCATTTTACACCAATACGATAACGTCCCTCCCCCTCCCGCCCGCCGGCGTGTATATGCACACAACCGTCCGCGTACGAAAAGTTTTGTTACAGAGAGTGCCGGTCGTCTTTTGGACAATCCATGTAATGCCTAGGCAACGAGTGTACTCAGTTAATTTTGACCATATTTCAGGGAGTGCCTGGCCTCCGCCTGGCATTTCATGAAATGCCTAAACTTTTCAGGCATTCGCTGTAACGCGCCTATTTCTACGAAGATTTCAGTTTTTGCCGGCATTCCATGTAATGCCTAGGCATTTCATGAAATGCCGGATTTCACCCGATGCCTACGACATATATATGTCGCAGGCATCAGGTGAAATCCGGCATTTCTTGAAATGTCCAGGCTTTACGTGGAAAGCCTAGGCTTTTCATGAAATGCCGGATTTCATCCCATGTTTGGGTTGCATTATTTGGCGCTGGCTCAGCACCAAACCTAAACAACAACACCTAACCCGACCTTACCTAATGTAACCTAATCTTATCTAACCAATTTACCTACCTTTCACATAACACGTAAGGCTAGGTCTAATGGCCTGATATGCTATGTAGGTGCAAGCAGGTTCAAGGTTAGGCATTTCATGAAATGCCGGATTTCAGCCGATGCCTACGACATATACATATACAGTGCGCATGTGCAGCTTAGAACTACGTGTAAGCAGCTACGTATTCATATGGGTGGGCACAGTTTTATGTAAGCAGTTCTTATGCCTTGTTTATAGGTCACCTTCTAAGAAAGGTTACCTAGAAATGCACAAGCGAATTCAGAAATATATGACCACAATGAATTTGAGGCCATGCATGGTCATCAAATTTCATGACCATATTTCTGAAAGGTATGCTACAGACGCCAAAGCATGCCGACTATAACCGTTGAAGTGGAATGTATTTAACCCACCAACATTACCTTACGTTTTGTCGTTACTTTAACTTGAGGTCGAACCCAACCATCTGACCTTACACACAGGAACGCCTGACATTTCGTCCGTTTAATTGCACTCAGTTGCAGGGAAACATTCCGGAGTCCATCTTGTCCAGAGAGCAGCTGCAGATAACTGATGAGGTCGATTGCAGGCTTTTACGGACACATTTTGGAGGTTTTCTCACGAGTCATGGACATCGATCGATCGACAGCCTTGCGAACGGTATTCGTGTGTGTGCAGATACGAACAGGATGTGAACGCCTGGAAATGCCACCAAAACGTCCTCCAAATCACGTGGGAGAGCAGCGTCACTGGATCCGACTTTTCTTTTCGGTAGCCTGACATCAGCCCTGGCGATGTACGCAACGTGACTGCCGACTGGAGATAACAGAAGCATGATACTTTATATGGGAGGCCCAAGTATTCGTTCCCATGTGCAGAACTCTGAACAGTTCAATGCCACCACTCCGACCCGTTCGGCTCGACAAAATCTGCGCCAAACCACACCAAACGCCCGCTAAACGTACAAAATATGTATTGCTGTTTGCGTTCGCTCGCCCCCAGCCTTCTCAGTGACTCGTGTTATTTCTCGGCGCAGCCGGCACTTCACTCTCCATTATGCCTCACATTAGCTGCTCGGGCTACCAAATACCAAATAAGCGTGTCGCCAGACAGTAGGAGTAAGCACCGATCTCGTTTACCTTACGCCGGTCGGTAGTAAACTCGCATATCTCCGAGACAGAGGTGGAGCAGGGACTGAGGTGCCTCCGGCGGCGGCTCGACCGACCGCTGACCGCTCTCCCTTCGACACGTAACTGCCATGAGGGGGACGCGACACCGTAAAGACACGCCGTGACACGTTGTAGCGCTTGTGACAAGTCTGTGACACTTGTGACACAGAGAGAGGCGCGGGGAGTTTAGCGGCGCTGAACACTGAACAGTGAACACCTGCCCGTGACGGCCAGCTAGGGCCCGCTCGGGGATGGCACACCCCTCTCCCACACTGGGCCCACGCACGCCCAGTCCCCGACGAACACACTAATAATAATATTTAATGCACTTTGGCCGCAGCGACCTCGTCAATCTCATAAGCTAAGGCACGATAAAAGGCACACAGTTCGCGAGCGGTGTCCGGCGGTTCTGGCCTCGAACACGTAAAACGTATGTCATCACTCGCGGTCGTTACACACACGCATACACACGCTTACAAACACAAACACACATAAGGACCGACAGAACAGCGAGTCGCCGTCTGCGCTATCAAAACGGCTGAGTGTTCCGTCCGCCCACTGCGCGGTCCAGCCTGGCTGGGAACTGTCTGCCTGCCGCCGGGCCGGCGGGCGGTGTGCCACCTCTCATAGGTAGGTCCTCGTCTGGCGGGGGTTTTCTCCGAGCAGTGCGTGTCACTGGTAGGTGGACGCGGTGCGACCGATCACCTCTAGCCACCGCTCCAGCGTGTAGCGGCTCTCAGCGCGGAAGAAGTAGATGTGCTGCTTGAACTGCAGCTTGAACACGTGCTCCTTGTGGATGTTGTCGGTGGCCGCCGGCTCCGAGACGACGTAACCCAGCAGGGGGAGCGAGGTCAACGGGCACTCGTCCTGAGGGAGGGGGGGGGGTCGAGGCAGGTCAGCGGACACTCGTTCTGAGGAAGGGGGTAATAAGGCAGCGGGCACTCATCCTGGGGAAGGGGGTAATAAGTCAGCGGGCACTCGTCCTGAGGAGGAAGGAGAGAAGTCAGCGGGCACTCGACCTGGGGATCGTGGGAGGTCAGCGAGCACTCGTCCTTGGAGGAGGGAGGGAGAGGTCAGCGTACACCTGGGGGAGGGGTACAGAGGTCAGCGGCACTTGTCCCTGGGTGAAGTGATGTCAGCGGAGACCCGTCTTGGGGATGGAAGCAGTAAGGTAACGTCTGGTCAAGGCGAGTCGACCAGCTCGACTTGTGTTCAGTATGCGCATCTACAAGACTAGAAATGAAACGGTCGTTAACGACTAACGCCAAACAGGTTACACGAACAGACATATGAACAGGCTGGCAAACGGAAGCCAGCCATGTAATAGACTAGAAACAGTTCAAGCGAGTTCAGTTAGTCATTCAATACCGTCTCTCGAACTAAAAATGCAACATATGTTCTGGTCACTACTCTCTAGCAGCACTATCATCTGCGTGTTGCAAGTGGTCCCTCGCCTAAATTGTGCCAGTGACGTCAAAGACTGACGCAGCGGGATATGACGAACATGGAGATGAAAGATAGGATAATTGTGACGCACAACTCACAAATCTTTCTCCAGCAGAATACAAATCCGGGCTAGTACGCAATAACTAGCGACTTGTATGTTGGATCTTAAATTCCTTGTTTATCAGAGGACACTACGGATGACCGATATACTTCCCGGCCAATGTACGCCCGATGAAAAGCCCCAAAGTGGAGGGCCACGACTGTGGGGGTCACAGCTCGCCTCCCTCGGGCTCCCGCGGGGTTTTCCTCTCCTCTGTATTCCTTCTCCCGGCTCCTTCCCCGCTCAAACGGCGTCAGTGACGGTGGCCGACCGTGACACAAACGAAGCTGGGACAACAAACAGTCGGCCAGTGCCGCCACTGCGCTGGTCACCGCGTGTGATGGCCCGCTGCACTTGCTTCCCTCCTGAACCAACGTGACATCATGACGAAGTGCGACCAAGATATGACCTATCGATCGTGAATATTGCGACCGCAGACTGCACTGTGACCTTGAATATGACCTAAACTCACTCTGGAAACTGCGTACTGTGACACAGCTCTGAGGTAAATGTGAATAACACCACCCAGGATACGACTCATGCCACCTCAGCGACTATATGTACCTAACTAATCTTGTGACACTCAAGACGAACTACTCAGACTAAATAAAGTGTAGCCTGTGTGCAGTGTCTCAAAATATATTGCGTTGGGTGGGAAACAGCATCCAAATGCAAATCATGTTATACTCAATGCCCAATTTTTAAGAGGATTTTTTTCACTCCTAATTTTCCGAGAAAAGCGTTTGCGTTGAAGGTCGTTTCGCATCCTACATTTTCCACTTTTGTATATGCATAAATCAGTGCAATTAATTGATCTTTTTTCCCACTCTTTTTGGACCTTATCTGACCGTCGATTTTCCACTCTCATTCCCTTTTTTGGAGGCATTTTCCTCCAACACTGAGGCAAAAAAAGGACACTACCTGTGTGTGTCGATAAAGACACATCACCGCCACCCTCATCTGACACCCAACAGCATCGCCCCCATTCAACAGTGTTTCAACCACCACCCACCAACCGAGTCCCACGCGTCACAACACCGCGCAATGCAGCTCCCAGCTGCCCTAAGACGAGGCAGCGGCGTGCCGTACCAGCACCCTGTACCAGTAACCACCGCCGCCGCGCCCTGCCACCCTCTCCGCAGCGCGACAGCCCGGCGGCGGGCCGTCGGCCATCGGTCTGTGCCTCACTTCTCCCACCGTTCTCGTCACACTGAACTACGCAGCAAGGAGTGCCAGAAGAGCGACCGGGCGACGCAGTGGGGAGCGCCGGGACTTTCCACTGTCGGTCTGCGCTGTCAGTTGCGTTACGATCGCTTCACCTCGCTGGCTCTTCATAAACGTCGCAAAGACGGTGCATATCCATGGTAGTCATGGTTAGAATAGAGTAAGTCATGTGAGCACAAGGCAAGCACACAGCCACTAAACTCAATAGCCGGTATCGGAACAGAGAGAAGCTATGACGTCCCCCCGGAGCGAGGTTTAAAATCTCGGACCGGATATGTCGTCGGCCGGAGCCGCGCAGGCTGCCACCGTCCGTCCACTCGCCGGTGATAGCGTCACGGCCACACACACACACACACACACCGGAGCGTCCGGACGTCCGGTGGGACCGACAGGAAGGGTCGGGGAGGGGGCGGACTTCCTCCACAGTGCGGCGCACAATGTGTGGTCCAGAGAGGACCGGAGACTGTGCAGATGTCCGTAATACAGGGAGGTTATGGCGAATACGGGTCGGCGTCGGGCCGGCTGGAGACTCGTTTGAGTTCGGGGACGTTCTAGAACCCATAACATCTCCATATGGGGATGGTCGGAACTACACTAAGCTAATGAACCGCCTCCCTGTATTGAAAGTAGTACTGAATAAGGATAGACGTGTGATGACGCTCTCAGCTCAACATAGGTTACCAGTCCTGCTTTAGAGAGCATCATTCATAGACACCCACCCACGTCGCACGTCCCCACCACAGCTGTGACGCAGTGAGCCGTCTCCAGAGGTTCGGACAGACCTCGGGTTCACCTCGCCTGGCACGGACCGAGCGCACACCAGCGAGATGATCTCACCGACCCAAAGCCGCCGGAAGGATGACCAGTACCGATCAGCAGAACTGGACACACGGGTAGACCACTGGGCGGGTCTGGGTCATGGGTGGGTCTGCCCGTGAGTCTGTTAGGCCAGAGTTCGATAGGTGCAGTAGACAACCGCAACTTGGTCAGCCGAGCCCTGCCTTCACTCCTGCCCGAGGAGGTGCTAACGGTGCTAACCACCCAGCCCGGTACCGACACCACGTCACCGGAACTGAGGAGCGCCCCGCCACTGTGGGGAGTGTCTGTAGCCGGCGGCCCGGGGTCGGTCTGTGCCGTCACTGCAATGTGTGGGTGGAGTGGCCACAATGTGTGGGTGTGCCGGGGAGTGGATACGGCTGAGAGACACGCGCGGAGCTGTGGAGGGTGAGTAACCCCTCAGACCACGGCGAGGAGCGGTCCGGCGGCCGGGCGCCGCACCGCTCAGTTCATCCGCTGTGTGGGTGGGTATGCCCGCAGCGTGCGATACCACACGGCTAGCTGTCAGCATGTGTGGGCGGGTCGAGCCGCCCGAGACCAGTGTTTGTACTCATCTGTCCGGTACCGGTGATAAGACCCCCGGGACCTGTGGTGGTGTGGGGGACTCGTCACACACCGTGCCACCGCAGGCGCCAGGTCACTTCACAGCCGGTGACGGATGAGACGAGAGCGTCACGGGCAGCGTCACGGACGGCTATGTCACCTCCCCTGGGACCAATACTCAGCGCCACGTCACGCCTCCCCCGTCACGTCACCTATAACTGTAAACTCGCGTCCTGCCATGGACATTGGACACGACTGCCGCGTACCATTTTCCTTTCAGTAGTACGGTGTCGCAACCCGACATGGTTTGAAAAAAACGAAGTTCAAGCGCTTTAGCCAATAATAACCTTGATTCTTGATTCCAATCGGACAACTTTTCATAGTGGACCACCCAGCGGTGAACCCAAAAAGAACTTCCCTGGCGACGAACTGCACCACAAACTGCGCAACTCTACGTCACTCACAGCCCATTCATTCATTCAGTCCACCCTTCTGAGGCCTGAGCAGTGACTGATGGCCAGCGCAGCCCAGGTCGGTAATGTCTATGGCGCCGGTAGGGCACCATCAACACTGTGGAGTGACCGCTAACAACCTGGGCGACAGACTGGCCCTAATCACCGGCGTCAGCGCCATTGTGTCAATAAACTGGCCGACCCACCCGGTCGGTACCGGGTAGGAGGCGGTAGATCACGGGAGCGGGCGACGAGACGGTCCTGCAAGTCAGCGACATGTGCAGTTTACGAGTGGGGAGCAGTGGGGATGAAGGCGAGAAGAGTGGTCGCATCGGATATTATGATACATGATTGTTTGTGAGTGTGGGACAGGAAAGGAAGTAGAGGATATCTAAGGGAGACATCTGGAATGGGAGTTCGACGTTGGGCTGGTCACCGATCTAAGCGGTAAGGCAGGAGCGAGGGTCAATTGCAGTGTTTATAGATAAAGGGTGTGGCCGGGGGAGCGTTACACAATCGGCAGACACACATAAAGGAACTACTCAGTCATCGGATTGTTAGTCGCATACGGCCGGTCAGCTTACACAAACGATGACCACGCAGAAACCTCTTAGTTACAGACGAGTCAGGTACTCACAGCTACAAATGGCGAGTTCTTAGTTTCATAGAGACCTCATACGGAGTTACATCAGTGACATGGGGCGTATTATACGATCGGCAGTCACGCAAGGGGAACCTCTATTCATTAGAACCACCCCATACACCCACTTCAACCACCACGCAGTCACGCACCAAGTGTGAAGTGTACACTACTGGTGAGCTGCACCATACAGACGGCGGGGGCAGTGGCAGGGGACGTCCCGATCCGAACGGGGTGACGGTACCACAGCGGAATGCAAACACTGAATATGTACCGGTGGAGGATGAACAAAGGGTGGAGGACGGGTGGAAATCACCGGGCCACACCGCGGTGTGTATGGGCCGGGAAGAGTGGGGTCTGACATAGAGGTGGCAAAATGTGGACCCGAGGACCCGGTCCAAAGAACCAGTCTGGACCCATATGGGTCCAGACCGGTTCCTGGAAATTTTCTGACGGGTCCAACCGGGTCCTACCATAAACTATACATCTTGCACACTACACATTATTGCAAAATATGAAGTGAATGAAGTGAATGTTTCTTTGCACACAGTAGCTCATGAGTATTCCCAGTGGGAAATAGGCTGTTATACATGATGCAACTAATGATTACAAGAAGTTTGTATTAATTGACTTTTGGGGACCGGGTCCAACTGGTTCCGATTCCAACTAAGACCGGGTCCGACTGGTTCCAGAAATGTCCAGCCGGGTCTGGTTCGAGTCTGGTTCCCAAAATTTTCATCTCTTGCCACCTCTAGTCTGACACAGCAGGTCATAGTCGTGGTGGTCAGAGGGTTGAGGGGATTCACTGGTGAAAAACACAGAGACGGGGGTCAACTAGATAGGGGGCACTAATATGGGGAGGAGCTGGAAAAGACGTTTATCACCGTCTCAAACGCGATAGCTGCTACAGCGAGGGGCGGTAATGAGAGGCCAGCAAAGACGGGTGAGCATGTCAACCAAGGACAGATAATCTCAGTAAGTGGGACAGTGTCGGAAGGGTATACAGCTCCGATGAGACAGAACAAACATTTTGCGTTTCTCCTAAAAAAAAAATCTGGAGAGTAACCAAAGTCGAAGTAAAATATAACACGTTACGTCATCGACAGGGAGACAACAAATGTGAATTAATGCAACTGGACTTAAGTAAATCACAGCAAAGCTACCGGTCATGACCAATATACATATATATATATATGTATGTTAGAATAATTAGTCACCATCGACACCACAGAAGCCTGGGGAATTCCTAGCTCCAAAGCATCGTCGCTGACGGAGGAACAGCCCGTCACCAGCGGATAAGGCAGGAGTGAAGACAGAGGACGGAGGATAGCGTCAGGGGTGTTCGTTTTTCTCTGGGATACAGCTGGAGCGGGGCGATAGTAGGGAATACAAGACACAATAGGCGCCAGGGTTCACCATAGCAGAATATCAGAACAGTTGAACGGTGTACACTGCACAGGTGGCGCTACCATCTTCGCATTCGACGAAAAACTCTGGCACGACTGCACGGTGCACCCCAGTGTCCGGAGAAACCATACCATACCGACCTCTCTAGGAGGCCTACCCACTACCCAGCAAGCCCCCACACGACCTACACAGCATTATTTACCCAAGTGACTGACAGAAAAGAGGACACAACATGAGTTTCTATGACAATTCTTGTTTGTTTTTGGTTTGTATGTTTGTTTGTTTTTGTTTTTTGTTTTCGTAGGGAGGCATCTTGCCGAAAGATAACAACCAAGTACAGTAGGTCGCAAAGCAAAAACGTAAGTACGCAGTACGCACAGTTGAGAGCTGGTATGTGCTTTTGGACTTTGTGCATGTTCTTTTGCACGGGTAAGGTGAGTAAAAGAATGGGGATATGGCTCAGTGTGACCGTAAAAAAAATCCAATACTACCTCCACATCTTTTAGCTTGCTCTTAGACCTCCGGCACTATCCTCCCCACCTTTCCCGGCTCTCTCCAGCCGCACCGCCTCACCTGGAAGGTCTTGTAGAAGTAGAGGCAGAAGTTGGTGAGCACCACCCACAGTTTCTGCCAACCGTCCGAGTTTTTGAACTTCCTGAGCAGGTAGCCGCTGAGCTGGCCGTGCACGGCCGCCGCCGTGTGCGCCATGCTGACCGAGATACCGCGGTGCCAGCACACGTGCGGACTACGGTTACTGCGCCAGTTGGGCTGCCGCTCGGACGGCGCTCCCAGAGGCGTGCCGCCCTCCTCCGCAGAGAGACCGCACATGATCTCGTCAGAGGAGCCTGTGGGGGGGGGGGGGGGAGATCAGGTCAGGGGGACTGTCTCCTCCGCCGAGAGACCGCACATGATCTCGTCAGAGGAGCCTGGGGGTGAGGCAGGTCAGGTTAGAGGGACGCTCTCCAGCACAGCTAGACCGGACATCAGAGGAGCCTGTCGGGTCAGGTAGGTCAGATCAGATCGAACAACCATCCGCTGTTCAGCGACCCCAGTTCATGGCCAGCCCTCACCTCCAACACACGTCAGTTCTAACCTCTATCCAAGGTCGCCCGTGGCCTCTGTCCCAGCCAGCGGTCAGTCTGGACGTCACAAACGATCAGCTCTAGCCTCTACCCATCCCTTATGTCCAACCCTGACCGGGTACGCTCAGCACTATCGGCCAGCATATGCGGCCAGCACCACCGTCCCATACGTAGTGCCATTGAGAGCCGCAGTGCCGACGCCAACAAACAATCAGAGCCGACCAGTGGACGGACGCCGTCCCATCCGCCGGTGGTCGGTCAGGTCACACGCTCACTGCTGTCACCGTCCAGTGATGGCAGCGGCAGTGATAACCGGAGACGGGCGGTGACGAGACCAACGTCGAGCCACCGACGGCAGCCGTCAGTTAGAGATGCTGTGATAACATGCATACGCCACTGCGTAGTGACCTACTATGGGCAGCAGTGGCAGGAAAATATAATAGACAATGTGATAACATTACCGTGCTACGCAGCGACCTTCAATGGGAAGGAGCGGGAACACAGTGATGATGTCTCACTTCTGTCTACGGTGTCATAAGTTCATAACACTACCGCACTACGCAGCAGCAGTATAAGGGAGCGAAGGAAACATACTGACGGGTGTCTGTCTATGGCCTACGAAGTGATACGATGTAACATTACCCAACTGCGCAGGCACCGAAGGGATGCGTGCATACAAGCACTGGCATTGTGTAGAACATCGTAGTAAAAAAAACAAAAAACTCAACGTTGACTCATCTGTGACAAAAGACCCTCGAAAATAATGTCCCAATAGACATCAATGTAACCCAGTGCAGTTGAAAACGAACCAAGAATTTAGTTGGTGCAGGCAGACTGTGTCACTGTGAGCCTATTTTCCACACTAAGTCCGCAAGGTCGCTGGTCAGAACAGACGCTGTGATAAAAACGCTCTGATCGCGATGTATCGTATGCGTGCGGTACTTATACAGGCGGGCAGTAGGTTGGATCTGAAATAGGTGAATCACTCTACCGGTAAACGCCCTAATTAGTGGAAATTCCCAACCTATACCAGACTAATGCAATCGTTCCAGGCGCGCGTCTCTTCGCGAGCGGTACGTACTGCAGGCGGGCAGCAGGCTGGAGCTGAGCGGCGCTGTGGTGTCCGGCTGGGCCATCGCCGACTCTATGGACGTCCGCAGGTCACGCAGCCAGGCGTCCCGCTCCTCGGCACAGCTGGCGGCGATCACCAGCGCCCTGGGAACGAGGTACCATGGGGTCAGAGCCATAGCGGGCGGAACACGTCGCACAACAGCCAGCAATACATCATGCGCTTAACTTACAGACAAATTAACTTGTTATGCACTACAAACCTAGCAACCGACTCTACATTGATCCTTCCTAGCCAATCTGTCAAACAGAGTAGTAATTGTATGTGCATGACAACCACGAGAGACAGCAGTTTTACAAATAACAAAGTTCCGCCGGCCGGTGCAGTCCCTCTAAGTCAAGAGTTCTATCAGTAGTAATAAAGTTGCGATTCATTCACTAAGAAACGGTCTTACCATGAACACGCAGCACACCACACTACAGTCACTCTGTGACCAACCAGCACGGTGTTTCCATCCCACCCTTTCGGCTTTATAGGACCGGCCGACCTGAGACACCACGCCACCTGTCGGCTGTCCGTTCCAATCCCGACGGGCCACACCAATCCCAAACCTCTTCACTCCACACTCCAACCACGGCCACAACCATGCTCCAGCCTAACCATGCACATTCCTCCGTTCCGTCGTTTCCATCCTCAGTATAGTCAAATATTTCTCCTCCATGCCTCAACTCCTGCTCCGGGCTGGACGAACAACTTTATCCCATGCGGAAAGCTCTCCTAGGAGCAGGCCCGTAGCCGGGTGAGGTGAGTGCTCGGGGGCTGCCCGCCCAGATCAATGTCTCCCCCTAAATCCTATCATCCTCCCGGCTCTGAAATGGTCTCGTTAGACCAAAAGAGCCTAGCCCAACCAAACAAAAACAAAACTAGCCATGCATTCGACTGTCCAGCAGGACGAACCTGTTTCCGCCGAAGATGGTGAAGCAGTTGGCGATACCCAGCTGCGAGTCGGTCTGTTCAACAGACACGCCCCGCAGAGGCAGCTGGCCGTGCACCTTGAACTGCGGCACCGGACTGGTGGTGCGAGATGTGTACACCAGCACGTCTGAAAACTGAGGAGAGGGGAGACGGTTAGAAGGATATACAGCGGACAAAGTGAACTGCAGCACCGGATTGGTGGTGCGAGACGTGTAAACCAGCACGTCTGAAAACTGAGGAGGGGGGGGGGGGGGGGAGAGACGGTTAGAAGGATATACAGCGGACAAAGTGAACTGTGGCACCGGACTGGTGGTGCGAGGGGTGTACACCAGGACGTCTGAGAACTGGGGGAGACAGGGTGATTGTTAGAGAGACACAGAGGAAACAGGGAGTAGGGACGGAAAGAGGGATATGGAAAATACTGGGGACAAGGCGAGACAGTGGACAGAACAGAGATGTAGAACAGCGGCTTACAAAGCGTGTAAACCACACTGCCAGAAAATCATGACTGGCGATAGAAAAGTGTTGGAACACGGCTGGTCAAAGCTTTTACATTGATTCATAACAACCTCGAAATGATACCGAAGACGCAAAGGGCAGTTTTCACTCGAACTCATGCCCGATCATTGTCTGGTCCCAGTAGCGGCGGAACACCTTCAATTAAGGGGGGCGCTGCCGACTTTTGGTCCCATTCTTTCCATGCAACGCCCATAGGGCTGATGTTAAAATGCCAAAATCAAACTAGGGAGGCACGGTGCCCCGGTGCCCTCCCCGTTCCGCCGCCTATGTCTGGTTCGTTTCCTGAGCGAATACGACGGCGCCTCAAGCCCGACCTTCCCCTTGCCGGTCAGCTCACCAGGAAGAACATGCGGTGCTGGTATCCCTTTTTGCTGAGTTTCTGCAGACAGCCCTCGCGCACGAAGCGCCTGCCGACGGCCTCTGCGCCTGCCAGCAGCGCGTCGCAGCCGACCAGGTCGCGCTGCAGCTCCATCAGCTTGACGCGGTTGTCGGAGATCAGGAGGCGCGGCTGGAGCCGCTCGGTGAGCTGCGAGAGCTCCTGGAGCAGCGCCGCCGCCTCGCCGGCGTCCCGCTCGCCGGGCTTGTACTGAGGCGCCAGCTCTGACGGACGGGGGGGGGGTGTCAGGGAGGGCGGCGACCGTGATACAGAGAGGACAGCACACCAGACCGGCCCACAGACAACGGACCTGCAGCATGGACCGGTAGAACGAGCCAAACCGGAACAGCCAAGATCACGGAAAACAACAAAAGGCAGGTCACGGGCCACCGCAATACATAACTAGTAGACCAGAGCATGCTCAAAGCGACTCCACTTTATATGAAAGACCAGCAGTCACCGCAAGTCAAGTCAGTGATCAGAACAAACCACGTAAAATTTCCGAAACTAAATCTCCTGTGAGTGCGCAATACAAATAAGCAAAAATATATAATAAACAGGACGAGAAGCATCCCCAAATGAGACCTATAGTAGCTGGCGAATAGGCCTCAAGATCTGATATCGCCATCACCAATTCAGCACCACTGACTTGTGAGGAGGGTGTGTAGATGGAGGACCCGCTGCAGGGGCTTCAGCACCAGGGCCGCTACCGGCAGGTAGCACACCTTCTGCATCTCAAAGTCGCGGTACATCTGTCGACATAACGCAGACGAGCGGTTAGCAGAGGGACTCGGTCAGATCATGGGCACACACAGTCTACGTGGCAAGAAGCGAGGCGACAGGTCATGACAGGAGAGCAAAAGAATAGCACCAGGGTCACGATAGGGAAGGAAAAGGGAGCAGGCCAGTCAGGGCCAGATCAACAAGGGAAGGGACCATAGCTATGTCCCTTGTTTTAGCCAAATGTCAGCTGCAAATAGCAGACATTTCTAGGACCAATCAACCACCATCAGCTTGTCAACACCTGATTAACGGCAGGCATCGAAATTAAACCAACCGTTCTCTATACACCCTGGCACCAAAGACCACGGGAGCACGTCCGTCCTACTCGAACAACCCTGCTGGCGATACCTCCCTGATCCCTCAGTCTGCTCTGCTCGGTCGAACTAACCTGTTTGAACGTCTCGTTGGTGCGGTACTCGCGCTCTATGGTCTCCAGGGCCTGCAGGTAGCAGTCGATGTAGGGCAGGTACACGTCGCTCAGGTTAGCCTGCAGCAGGACGTCGCAGAGCCGCGGAGGCGGCGACAGGCCGTCCGCCGGGCTGCTCTGCTCCCTGGGAACGCAGAGACCGACATATAGTCACACACTACCATCATACCTTAACTATCACAGGCCGTCCGCCGGGCTGCTCTGCTCTCTGACAACAAAACGGAGACAAATGCTATGCGATGCAGGGAAGAGACAGAGAAATGGGAACAAACTATTTGCACCGAACGCGGAGATAAAAAGGATATTCTAATAATTATATGTTTACGCTTAAGTTTTATTCAAAGGATTAAAGCCAACATTAAGCACGGGTTCCAACTACGATGGGTAAAGACATGATAGAAGGGCGAGGCACAGTGCGGCCACTCGCCATGCTGTGAGGCCCTGTTCAAGGTCCCGCACCAGCTGGAAAGGGTATAGTTTAGGGTACAGACCGGGCACAGACCGAGGCGCTGTCCCGGGCACAGTGTTGTCACTCACCACGCGATGAGGCGCTGCTCGAGGTCCCTCAGCTGTGCAGCTGGACATGGGTACAGACCGGGATACAAGTTAGGGTACAGGCCTAAGTACATGACTGTAGTATCGCACGGCCACTCACCAGGCGATGAGGCGCTGCTCGAGGTCCCTCAGCAGCTGCACAAGGGTATAGGCTAGGTTACAGGCCGGGACCCATGACTGTAGTATCGCGAGGCGGCCACTCACCAGGCGATGAGGCGCTGCTCGAGGTCCCTCAGCAGCTGGCTGTGTACCGTGTAGATGGGCTCTAGACGGACAAACAGCTGCGACAGCAGACCGATGGGCACACCCGGCTGGGCCTCCACCGCCTCTCGGAACCACTGTAACGGGACGGATATACAGGTCAGTAACACTGTGTTAGGACACAGACCGAGAGCCCTCCCCCTCCCCCCGGCTGGGCCTCGACCGCCTCACGGAACCACTGTAACGGGACAGACACGCGTCAGCCAGCAACCAGCACACATACACGGGTCAGAACAAGTGCAGCAAGACGCGAACTGAGGGCCCTCCCACCCCTCCCCTGGCTGGGCCTCGAACGCCTCACCGACGCCACCAAAGTAACCACCCACCACGGGATTCATCAATCCAGCCACACACCCCTCTCCAACAGCCCAGCAAGGCCTCCCTCCATTCGCAGCCCACATCCCCGGCAGCCCAAACCCCGCCATCACCTCCCCACTCCTCACCACGTGCAGTATCCGCAGGTCGGTGCGGTACGTGCGCTCGGTGCTCAGCATCTCCTTGGCGATGAAGAAGGCCCGGTCGGCCGGGATGCGGCGAGGCTTCCGGCGGATTTCCGGCGGCGCCGGCTGGCCGTTCTCCACCGGAAGTGGTGCGGTTCCGGTGCCGTTCAGACGCGGCTCGGGGAGCGGCGGCGGCGGCGGGGAGACGGTCGCCGGCGGGGGCGGGGGCGGCGGCGGCGGCGGCGGCTCGTCGGGTTCCGAGCCGCCCTCGTTGACCGAGAGCACGGGCAGGGTGCCGTCGTCTGTAGGGGTAAACCGAGGTCAGAAGGCGCAGATACACCGGGAGAACAGGGCACGTTCTCTGTAGGCTATACAATGACAAAATATTACCTTTACTGTTGATAAGTAATCGGAGATGAATAAACCAAGTAATTAACTAGCATTATGGCAGTTGTGAACTGGAAAACATTATGTGACATGCAAATATGGATAAACACGGTAACATGAGCAATGAACATCAGACATGCTGCTGCAGAAGAAACAATAATGAAAACATACACGTGAAGATAAAAACGTTTGAATGAGACGTGCAATACAACAATCATCTTATAACGGCTGTACAACAAATAAAAACAAACAAAACAATGCACGTTTAAACGTGCGGGTCGAGTCTTGAAACATTCATCATGGTGATGTCATCTATGACAAAATTATCATCAACTCGCAAAAATAACGATATGGAGCAGTAAATAAAGATTAAAAACACTGAAAGTCATAAAGATACTGATAAAAAACAGCCACTTGCTGTGCTGCACAAAACCGGTGCACCCATATGTGCCAACCAAGTCTGCGGGGCCTTCGGTAGGCTGCATGGGCCGCAGCTTCACTACGTAACAAAACGTAACAGCTTTTGTCGTGAAAACTGAACTGAATGGAACGAAAGGGAGGCGCGAGCGGCGATATTCCCGAGACCGCCGTGAGATGAAGCCCGCCGGCTGGACGTAGCGTGGGCTGACCCCGCCACAGATAAGACAAGCAGGCAGGCGCGCCGACCGGCAGTCATGCCAAATCGATCACAAACGTGATCGAACAAAGTACATGGAGCGTGCGGCAGGCCACATACACCGATATGGATAGAGCGGAGCCTCACCTTCAGACAGTTCAAACTGTGCGTGTCCTCGCAGCTTTGGAAAGCTGATACACTCATACATACTCGCCCTCGCGGCCCACCCTTCACACAGCACACCATCACACCAGTCCAACTCACGTCCACTCAGAATCGGCACGTATGTATTGAAACTGGGGACGCCGCCGTGCCTTTGGAGCGGACGAGCCGTCTCCGACGGCGCAGCTATCACAGGGCGAGTATCATCCGCCGGGAGGGCGGCGGGACAGCTGGGGAGGCCGGGGGAGGCCAGGGGAGGCCGGGGAGCGGCCCGCACAACCAAAAAGGCACTGCGCGGCGCCAGTGAGCAGCTGCAGGGTGGGCGGGGTCAGGGGAGGGGCAGGGAGGGCATGATGTGACGAGCGGCTGTGAGGCGAGGACTGCGATGGACGAGTGGACACGTGGGGTGACGTTGGGTCATCAATATAAAACGGCCGTCTTTGTAACGGGTCAGCCGGTCGGCAACAGTAGACCTCCGGCGGCGGCAGGAAAACAGACGCCACGCCGCCCGTAACGACTCACTACTTCGCAATAAATAACGAGTGAAAGCTGCGCTGTGCGAGCGGCCAGCTCGGCCGGCGCCGGCCGGAACGTTTCCCGGGCCGCGTTATTGCAGTCGGCGGCCGGACGGGGCCCTCTCAGCCCCTGGAGCGGGCTGCCGGGGACCGTCATAGGGCGGCGGTGCGGGAGCCGGCCGGACACCGGCGGGTCGGCGCCGTCTCCAGCGGGCCGGCCAGGTCGGCGCCGGCGTCCGTGTCGGAGCCGCTGTTGGCGGCGCGCCGCGGCCGGCCGGCGCACCGGTCCGCCGCGCGGCGCGGCGCCGGCCAGCCGGCCTCCAGCAGCGAGCTGGGCGGCGACGGGAAGTCGGGCTCGGCCGAGCCGGACGGCGAGTCTCGGCCGCCGTCCTCCGTGGACGACTCGCTCGGCTCGCCGCCGGCGCCGAGACCAACCAGTGCGCAGCCGCCGCCCTGGCTCGGCAGTTCCTCACAGGGTGCGCTGAACGACGGCGTCGAGCGCCGCGAGTCCAACTCCGAGCTCAGCTCACTGATACGACTGAGCAGACCGCGCGCGGCCGGCAGGGTGCCAACTCGCCGGCCGACCAGCCGCTCGTCCTGACTGGGGTCGTCCGACTCGTCGGGAACTGTGTCGTACTGCAGCGTCGAGTCGTCTTCAACGGGCCTCGAGCTCGACGACAGCGTGCTGGGCTCATCGTCAGCACCGTCGCCGCCGCGCTGTTCAGCCAGATGCTGCAGAATCTCCCGCTCTAGGGCACCGGAGATGGATCGTACCTGCAGCCAGTCGTCAAGCGAGTCATCCTGAGAGCTATACGCGCGCTCCGACGGCAGCTGGTGAACCTCCACGTAGTCACGGCGCAGTGTGCGGGGAGAGTGCACTGTCAGCGCCGCTCGCGCAAACAGCACCGGACTCTGATCGGGTCGCCGCGGCCGCTCCACCTCTACCCGCACACGGTGCCGCCGCGGGGAGCCTCCACCCGCACCACTGCCGGCAGACTGCGGCGGAGGCGGCGGCGTGGCGAACGGCTCCGGCGGCAGCAGCAGCGGCTCTCGCTCGGCGCCGGGAAGTAGAACGGGCCGCGCCGGTGGCCAGCCGAGCTCTGGGGACCAGCAGCGCGGCGGGCTGTCCTCCAGCAGATCGTACGAGTCGTGAGACACGTTGTCGTCCTGTAGGATAGCCGGTTCGCCGCTCAGCCGTCGGTCGATCACCGTGTTGATCTCGTTGACGGAGCTCAGACTGGACGACTGGTGGCTGGCTGCTGAAAGCTGTCCACGGCGCCTACCGACGCTCACCCCCGCGACAAGCTCATCAGTCTCATCAGCTGTCTCGGAGACGGACAGACTGCGACTGCTGCGGACAGAGAAAGCGGTCGCCGACGGGCCGCGGCCGCACGAGTCACAGGACGAGCGCGGCTCGCTGTCGTCCGGCTCACTCTCCTGACCTGGCAGTGCCGGCGGCGGCGGCGGCGCGGCGTACTGCGGCGGAGACGAGGCCAGCGAGCCGGACGCCTCTCCGCGCGAGGTGTCCAGCTCGGCCGTATCTCGCTCGGTACCCGACTGGGGCGACTGGGGAGCTGTCGAGGACGGCAGCGTCACGGAGCCGTAGGACAGCGAGACAGGTGTGCCCACTGAAACAGACGGGGAGGTGAAAGAGAAGGGCGTAACCAATGCATTAAATGGAAGGTGCTGGCGAGACGGGCTGAGGCATGTCCACTGCAACAACTGAGGAAGGGGGGTGGGGGCATGATCCGGTGGCCATACAGCATCCAAAAATACATAAATTCTCCTGATAATCAACATCAAGTCAATGCAAGCATGATTCAGAGCCGCGGAAGCGGTAGGTATCAGGTTCTTCAAAGTCCAAATGCTTCTCAAACAGTCGCCACAAGGACACAGATTCAACATCTTGGTGAAACGCCACACAGGCGCTGCGGGTCCGTTACACACCGATACTCAAGCATCAGCTCCACTGCCCTTTGGTCCTCTATAAATGTTAGGTACTGCATCACCACCCCAACATTAAACACACCAATGACTGAACTACCCGATCAGACGAATGACTGTTCGCCTTCGTCTGTGAGAATACGACCCTCAGACTGCTCCTGACTGACCTGTGGACCTGTCTGTCGGCAGCTCGGCCGGGATGAGCGGGTGCGCCGACAGTGAAGGGCCGACCGTGGAGCCCGCCAGGCTGGTGGTGCCGCGTAGAGCGCTCGACGAACGGAACGACTGTGACCTGCGGCGGCGGGCGGCACCGTCACATATCAGTAACAATTCGAAAAGGCCGTTGGTTATGAACCGACGACAACGCTGTACTGAATGTCATAAAAGAGACATGGAGAATAAATCGGCAACGAGAATAGGCAAAGAAATTCATTAGCAACGCAGATGCCTTTCATAGATACCCAATGACCTGGTTACTACATTGTTGCAACGTCTATAACTATAACAGCATTGTTGGTCCGCTCGTTTAGCTGGGGTTACACCATGGGCCATGCCTCAACCGATCGAAGAAACTCGAGTCTGTAAGCCCCGCACGGACCTGTTGAAGCCCTGGTGTTTGGCGTAGTTTTCCCGAACGTACTCGATCATCTGCTTCTGAGTCCTGCCGCTGAACCTGCGAGCGGGGAGCACAACAAACATTTAGAGAGACGTCACATGAATCCAAGCGAGTCATGATCTTTGGCTATGTTCACTGCTCAGTAGTCATGCATGGCACTGTTTTTGCCTCCCAATACATCTTCAATATTCTGTCATTCTCAATATTATGTTAGCATTCTAGTGCACCGTGGTATGCTAAGAATTGTGACGACACGACGTATCCAACAATTTGAGATATATTTCGAGAAGGTACTTGTTTGCGCATCATCAAACCTCCCCATATTGCGCATATATGTCTCCATGGTAGCCTGTAGTACCGCAAATCTGCCAGAAGTAGCTAACGATTACATACTTTTTACTCGGCAGCTATTATACCCGTAGCTTCCCCCAGTAGTCAGTGCGCTCCACCCACGGTACAACATCCCCTCCCACTATCTCACCGGAACGAGCTGCCCCGCGGCAGGACGCGCGGCTTGGAGCGGCTCTTTTGCGCCACATCCAGACATCGGAAGAAGCCATGGTGTTCCACACACTTCTTCCAGAAGTTCTTGCAGTAGTTGCGAGTACCGAAGAAGAACTCCACCGTGTCCTTGTAGTAGCCCTGACGGGCGAGCCAAACTTGTTAGAGCAGGACAAAACAGATACGTCAGAGAGTATAAGTGCTTTTACAATGTCATCTCCCTCGCTCTCCACTCCACGTAGCCTGGGCGATGACCAAAGCGAGGAGAGTCATTCACAACTCTCTGTAGTTTGCGACACTTGAGGAATCGTCGTGGTGAATTGAAGTGCACAAAGTCCACTCAAAGGGCGAGTGGTGAGCTGTTTGTGCGGTGAATCACGATGATAATGTAAGTAAGGTCAAGAGCAGTCACTTCGCAGCGACAGGGCAAAGACCGTCAGGAGGGAAAGAAGGGATGTGGGGAGGAGGAAGGAAGAAAAGACGGATGAGATGGCGCAGCTGTGGTGCAATGAACTGAAGATGACGATAAGCGATTACGAGGGGCTATGTCATTCATATGAAGTCACTTCCATTGGAAGTTTGAAGACGAGCCAACATGAACCACAGCCAACCATACACAAAACAATAAAGGACGTGACCACATGATAAAACCGTTTTTAAAAGACACTACCATGATGTAGAAAGTGATCAGTAAAAGAGGAAGAATTTTCGGAGGAAGTTCTAGTTTTGCCAGAAGCCATTACCAATTAATCCCGGAATTGACAGGAAAGGCATGCAAAGTTCGGATCATACTACCGACTGTACCATGCATATTACATACCACCAGGAAAATCGCTTAAAATAGAGTCCGCGATATAACTATTTTATAAGAAACCAAGCAGCCCAGGACCAAGATGAAAGGTAGGCAATAGTGCCTGAATACGTCAAGATGTGACCAAAGGTCAAAGTCAAGCATTATGCTTTTTTCAGCAAATAACTCCTACCAGGAAACAAAGAAATGCCCAAATCTGAGTAGCTTCTATAGCAAAACACCATCAAAAAGTGACTGTTGTGGCAGCATCATGCGTAGCAGCTATCCTCGCACATCCACCAATTCATACTGAAGAGACACACGACCACTAAATATTTTAAAAGGCGAGGGTGTACATGACGCCGTACCTCGGGCTGGTGAGTGTAGCGACAGACAGCGGCAAGGCAGCGACATCAGTACGGAGCCGTCTGCACGCGCCCCTCCCCGCGACTACCTCTAACGTAGACAGTACTGCCGCACTAATACAGCCTTCTCAAACTCTCCGTTCGTCGGTACTCAGACCTATACGGATGCCAGGCAGCTGGCTTCTAGTAATATAAAACATCCGACGTCTCGAATACTAGCCTACGTTTGGTATTGTTTTGTCCTAATCAAAGCATAGTTACATCAAACTACACCTATTCTATTTACGAACTAACTCATGGACTCATGGCACCTAATTGCATCAAGCTCGGTGGAAACACGTAGGTGTAACCATGCTCCTCCTGACCACTTCCCCGCTCCTTCACCAAGTCACTCACATGTCCCTCAGGATGGAGTTTGATGAGGAACCGGCGCCGCTTGAAGGACAGCTTCCTGATCTTGGCCCAGGAGAAGGTGCTGATCTTGTAGTAGTTCTGGAACACAACGATGCCCATATGCGCCACGGCCAGGTTCAGGGGCACACCCTCGTGGTCCTGCAATGGAAAAAGGCGGTTGTCGATATAGAATGGCGGCGGTAAAATAAAATACGTATGATGACACGGGAATGAACGTCGTAACGCAAACAATGTGAATGTGGGAGCTTGGAAAAGCAGCAAGAAGCGGTGATTGTAGAGTCACTGGTATTATGAACGTGCACAAGACTCATGCTGACAATGCAAATCGCAGTCAGCGGTCCAAGGGCCTTGGGTCAGCAGTTCTTTGTTCCGTAAGCTGTTAAAGCTATCGAATCAAAGAGCTACTGGAGTGCCTGCATATTTGCATGACATCATGCATTATGATGACACCATATCGAAATGATGTTAGCTAATGAAATGTGGTCATAACCGCCAGCTTTATGACACCAAACTGGACTCATTGTAAAAGAAGTCGACACTCCGCTAGAGAGCAGCCATTGATCTGCTGCCCATAGCGCGAGCATCGGGCTCGTGATTGAACAGATCCTCACAGTGGCCCCTTCTACCGGCGCCCGATCGCAGCTGGCCGGACGGCGTCACGAAGCCTAAACCCTGAAACCTTCCATGGCTGCCACCGTCCCATCCCCACCCGCAGCAATGGATCGACTAAGCATTCCTGGGTCGCCTCACCTTGGCCGGGTGCATCTTCATGCCGTAGAGCTCTCACCTTGGCGGGGTGCATTTTCATGCCGCAGAGCTCTCACCTTGGCGGGGTGCATCTTCATGCCGTAGAGCTCTCACCTTGGCCGGGTGCATCTTCATGCCGTAGAGCTCGCAGCGCCGCGCCGTCTCCAGCAGGTTGAGGTCGGCCTCGGCCGGCGTCTGACCGACCAGCCGCCGGTGCGACTCCATGATCCGACGCTCCATGTCGGCGTCCTGGCCGGGCATCACGCGACACGCCCGCAGGTAGGACGCGTCCGCCGACTCGTGGCCAGAGAAGTCGCCGTACTCGGCTGTCGGCAGAGCAAAGGACAGAGGTCAGATTAAAGGAAACGACCGTCACTGAAAACAGTACCACGTGGGCTTCTGGGAAACGGCTAATTCTGCGTAAAATTTGGCATATTTGACGTCATCTACCAGATGACAGCATGCCCTCGGAAACCGTAACGACTCACTATTGTAAGAAATTAAAAAGAGACATTAAAAAGAAAGACGTCTATCCCTGTAATATATCACAAGCATGAGGTACTTTCACCTTCTAACCATGAAACATGCTTAGTATAAACATTAGGCATTCCTTCTTCAAAATGCATACGAGTAAATGTCCTCAGATATCCCATATTTGGCAGAATTATTCACGCGTAACGGTGTTGTGTCGCCGTCAAGGACGACCTGCAATGTAAAAATGTCGCAACAAACGCAGAGAGTCAGGAAAGAGTGATGTTTCAAGTCTAGCTGTCACCAGTTCCTCACGTTTCTCCGGGTTTCTCGTTACCCCCGTCTCCATTACCGGCGGTGTTACCACGCCGCACACCGCGGTGCCACCGGCCCCGGGTCCCGGTGGGCCGGCCGTCACAGCCCGCTCCGACTTATCACGCCATAACTCGGCGGTTATCTGGGCGCGACAGTCGCCGTCCGTGGCCGGCGGTCATGAGAGGCCGGGCGGGCCGATAGCGGCCGGCGGAGGAAACTGTCCCTCAGACACCGTCACCGCCGTCCGCCCACCCACCGCCCGACAGACGTCTGTGACCCACCCACACCAGGTGGCCTGGAACGACATCAGACGGCTCGACATGCTACCGGCGGGCAGGAATCCAACCACCGCCTCTCAAAGACGGGACCAGGGCGTCCTCGGAAGACAGTGACGCTCAACAAGGGTCAGTCTGTCGGCTCGTCCTCACATTTTAATTCGTCCGTTGACAAACGCCGACCACCGCCGCGCCGGTGTATCTCACCAATACGATGCCGCCGGCTCGCCTTTATCGCCCCTCTCGTCCGTTATTGCCGTGAGAGCCGCCGGTCGTCGGCCGACCAGCATCCGTCACTGCCCGGGTGGGGTTCGTAGCGCGTGCAATATCGTCCCGTGGGCGGCCGCGGCGGCGACACGGCGCTCGGAGCCGGCCGGCGCGGTGTCGATACATGGGTCTGGCGAGACTCCAGGTCCAGGCGGCTCCCCGACCGGCGCTATTTCGGGGTGTTGGTGCTGGTCTGACACGCACCGGCGTCAGAGGGCCGCAGACCGAGCGACCGACCGACCGACACCTCCAGAGGGCGGGAGAGGGGAGTCTACGAGAGCAGCCGACCGACAACCATCACCGACACCACCACCAAACGACCCACACCAGCATAATTCCGCGATAGCGAGATAGAGTACCGAAGTGCACCGCTCGGCACTCTGCCCCCGGTAGGAGAGCTGGGTCCATCAGCGGCATACGAGCGCCCGCCGCTGGCCCCCCGGGAGAGGAGGCGGGGGTCCATCAGCACTCTGGGGCCGACGTCGGTGCCACTCCTGACGCACACCTAATCAGACTGGCCGTCACGCCACTCGTCGGGCCGTCGGTCTGTGAGATCGTTCGTCTGTCTGTCTGTTCGCCGAATATCGCGGCCGACGGCGCCGGCGGTGAGGTCACGCGCGAGGCGGTGCCCCAAGGCCAACGGCATAGAGTAGAGTAAAGGGGTATGCAGAGTAAAGTAATCTTGATGCAGATCAGGCAAAATATATTCCCGAGATCTGCAGGCCTTTCCTGCAAATTTAAGAAATATTATCCCCATCATACGATTGGCGAGACTCATGTCACTGTCACATGAGCAAGATATTTTGTACGAACATTAGCATCAGCGATATCTGTAAGCCAGACAAGCATTTCTATGTTGACAGTTGTGTACCGAATTCCGGGATAATTATCCGAGTCATCTAAAATCAACGCAAATATGCTCGCAGGGTGTCCTTGATCCCTGAGAAACGCTCATTCCCGCTGACTCCGGCTATTTCTTAGCGCACCCCGCCCCTCCACTGTGCTTTTACAGCTGTACCGGAGTTTCCGAGTGCCGGCACTGAGGCCACCGACCGCGTAAGATACCGCCGTGCCGACAAAGCGCCAGCCGGTCCGCTTACCGCCGCGGGCTTCGTGCAACGGCTCATAGAAGCCGGCGGGTGGAGAGTGGAGAGAGTGGAGAGTGGTGGGAGGCAGGTAGAGGGCGGTGGGTGGCAGGAAATAGCGGTGGACGATGGGAAGCGAGCGGCGGGCGGTGGGAAAAGGGCGACAGGCGGTGGGAGGTGTATGTATATGAGGGCAGCGGATGGTTACAGAGAGGTATGGTAGCAGGCGGTGAGCGGTGGACGGATAACGGTAGACGAGAGCGGTGGACTGTGGGCGCCATATAAGGACGACCAGCGATAGCAGGTGGACGGAGACCTGGACGACGGACGGTTGGCAGAGGACAGGTGGACAGCGTATGAGGACGGCGGGCGGAGGGACGGAGATCTGGACAGAGAGCGGCAGACGGTGGGCAGAGGACGGTGTGCGGTGGGCAGAGGAGGGCGGGTGGTGGACGGCGCATACGGGGACGGATGACAGTGGGCGGTGGCAGGTAAAGAAGGGTAGCGGGTGGTAAGCGGTGGACGAGGGTCCGGACAGAGAGCGGCAGACGGTGGGCAGAGGACGGTGTGCGGACGGACGGCGCACCATCGACCCGGCCGGTCCTCTCGACTCCGACGAACACCGAGAGCCGGCAGTTACTGACGGTGGGCGGGGCCCGTACCGTCACACTAAAACCTGGGCGTGGAACACCGGGCTGCGAGTCGAGCCAGGGGTCATCCTTACACCCCTCTCATCATGACCAGAGGGAGGCTGTGGGTGGAATCCTAATCAGTCATCAACTTCATCAGAGGTGACGTGTACCTACGACATATGACATGACGAGGGTGGAGTCCCGTCCCGTCCCGCCCGCCTAACACTGAGTCACCGGCCTGGCGCACCAATTGTCCCAGGCTCACTGTCACCGAATCGCCACGCAGCGCGCACCAGCCCATTCGCGAGCTGGTGCAGCGTCCGTCTGCCGTAAACATGGGCCCAGGTGCGGTCGGCGGCGGCGACGGTTACTAACATGGACGTCCCTTCCGTCCAGCATGGGACTCGGTCTCTCCACCAGCCTCAGTATCATCAACGCACAGCGTATAATGCCTGAGGGAATTCGTCTCGGAGGAAATCGACGGCAAAACTAGTGAGTCGATACTGCAGTGTGGGCAGAGTAAGCTGTGCTGCTGCTGGCAGTTGATGATATCGATCATACTACCGAGTGCAGGCGGTGACAATAGTCGCTGACACTACCGATGACGCTAGTCAATGACACCAGCCGATGACACTAGCCGATGACACTAGCCGATGCCACAAGTCTGTAGGTAGACGGTGACACCTAGCCGATGACAACAGCTGATGACACTACCTCGCCACAGTACCTCTCGGTCCTCCCGTACCACTAATGTCCCCCACCCCGAGCGGCGAGCCGAGGGGTGACAAGGGCGGCCTGGGGGCGGCGGCCGCTCATCCGTCTAGCCAGTAATTGGGCTGACTGGTCGTCTGATGGCATAATGTCACCGTCCGACCACGCCGCAGCGGGGGCGGGGGCGGCGGGGCGGCGGCAGAGAGCCAGTTCCGTAACGGAGTGGGCCACTGGTAGACCCACACAAGTGGTCTAAATTTCAACAGCAAGAACACGATGTAAAAAGTGCCTGAGTAGAGCGCAGAACAAAGAGAACGACGGATTGTACGAGCACGTCGATTGCTGTGGCATGCACTCATGATCCTACCACGAGTTCGGGTGTCCTTTCGACTGCAGAGTGGAATGCGGCTTTCCCCAGTCCAGCAGGGCGAGTCTGTCATTAAGAAGCGACACAACTAGGTAGATATGTCAATAGATAGTGAATTATACATAGACAGCAGTCGTTAGATAGTGCATTAGCCATTGTTGGAAGTCGTTACTCGTTGATGGCCGGTCGACAAGGAGGTGTCTCAGTGGTTGTTGGAAGGTTGTCAGTAGTAAGTAGTCAGTAGTCAGTAGCCTCTAGTCAGTGATCGGTGGTCTGCAGTCGGCAGTCCGTGGTCAGTAGTCAGTGGCCAGTGGCCTGTATTCGGTAGTCAGTGGTCAGCACTGTCAGTAGTCAGTAGCCATTGACCATTGGTATGCGACCTCACCCGACAGCCGACGTAGGGTGGGCGTCCGGCGTCCGTCGGTCAGTTGCCGGTCGGCGCGGCACAGGGGGACTCCGCGAACCACCGACGATCTGCGCTCATTTCCCCCGGGGACGCCGGGACGAGCCGACCACGCCAGGGACCGTATAAGCGCCCCGGTCCGCCCGAGTAGCACTCGGCCTCGGTAGGACGGCCGGCCCACAGCCGGCGCCAGACCAGAGCGGGACGGGAGAGGACGAGAACTGAGCGGCTCTGTCAGCGCCGCCGCCTGTGCCCGACGAACAGCCTTGGCGCCGCTCAGACACCCAGTCACAGTCCCAGTCGCAGTCAGTCGCAGTCAGTCGCGGCGCTAGCACACAGAGGCGCTCTGTGACGCGCGGCCGTCCGCTGGCGTTGGACGCTCGCCTGTCACCGCCGCCGCCGACCGGAGCGAGCACCGACAGCAGGCAGACGCCGCTGACGGGTGGCGTGCAGAGCCGCGCACGGCGTGCAGAGGGGCGCGCCGCGGCGCCGGCCGTCGCGTGCTGACCGTCCCGGGGCGGTCCGAGCGGCCGACTCACACCGAGCCAGCCGAACCTCACCAGACAGACCCCACTGGCCAAACTTTCCCAACAAAATACCGCCACTCACACGGTGTGAGCGCTGTGCAACGCTAGCCTTGTAGTCAGCTAAGCCGAAGGAAGCCCGGCGAAATAATACCAAGACATATCAGGTAACAAGAACACCTACTTTGCTATGTTTTGAGAATCGGGTGGCCAATGGGGCTCCATAAGCCGGCCAGAAACGACAGACCAGTCGGCTAAGCATAACAGGGCGCTGGGTCTAAAAACAAACCATGAAGCCCCCGAGGCCGATGGCACGCCCTTTGAGCACGAAGCGCTCCGTCAATCCATCACGGTGTTTATTAACGGCTCATATTGATTGAGGTTATCACAGCGCGGCCGGCGATCGCCGCTGGGCAGCTGCACGGCCCGCACGCCGCCGGCGCGGTCCTCGCCGGTGGGGTTTGCTAGCACTGGCCGAGGGGCGCCGCTAACGCCGGCGGTACCGGTGGTTTTGGCTCGGGTACCTCACACACAGAGGCCAGTGTGCTCTAGTAGTTCCAGTCTGGGGAGTGCGTCAGCCGGGCAGTCTATAACGCCGCCCTGTGTGGGTTTTGGCGAGTGGGCAGCGTTGACTGACCGGCGCGGACGGCCGCTGCTTATTTAGACGTCACCGTGGGGCTACGTGATGGAGCGTCAGACGAGACGGATAGTTCTCACTCGTCATGTAGTCAGCTGCTGCCAGTCAGACTAGGGCAGAATATCTCGCGGACGCATAGAATCTGTCCGTTGCTGACATAAGTGTTGCACCCCGACCAATGTCGAAAACTGGTTGAATTGAAAACAGGCGGTTTCTTCGTAAGGTTAGAGCTACAATTCAAATTTGAAGGCAAACATGAACTCACTAAGCCATCTTCTCAGCCTCACCAAGCACCTCAGTCCACAAACACCTGCGCCTCGTGCGGTCATCTCTCATCGTCGTCGTGTCCGCCCCCTCCTGCGACGCGTGTCCGCTGAGGCCGCGTGTGTCTCGCGGCCGTCACAGGTAACGACATTACCGGAGGAGCACTTAGTGCGCGGATCTCTGGGGAGCCGGACCCGTTCCGCGAACCGTCCGAGAGGACGGCGGACTGGTCATCGTCGGTCCGAGAGACACACACTCACCCTGGCAGATGTAGCTGGCCATGAGAGCTGCCGTGTTGTCATTGCATTGCAGGTGCCCCTGCGCGAGATCGCGTTTGACTTGTAGTGCGAACAGGTAGCGGGTGAATTCATCTTCTAGTTGTGCTGGGTCGGGTGTGTAGAATTTGACGCAGAACCAGAGGATGGGCTGGTGCGGCGCGAGGTCCACCTGACGTCCCATCGGTCGCTCCAGGTCCAGCCAGTACTGGGGGTGGAAGGGCGGACGTCAAACATATCAGACGAGCATTCGCATGTTGTAACGAACATAACATACGAACAGAACACATAACAAATACCGGTCGACTCACGGAACTAGCGGTATACAGACGGACATGGGCAGATGGCAGACGTCAAACAGACGGACAGCTGGTTTTCTTACACATAAAGCGACACGCCGTTTGTCTGACTTCCAATTAGAGATGCCCTTTTTGAACCCGCGAACCCGCTTTCTGCGGGTTTTCAAAACCCGCAGGGTTTTTGGCGGGTTCGAGAAGCAAAACTTGTCGTGTGGCGGGTATTTGGCGGTCAGACTTAAGAACCTATAATTTTTTATTTTTTTTAGATGCAAAACACAATGCCAAGTGCATTTGCTCAGGTTAACAATACAATATTCATCAAAACAACTTTTAAAACAGAACCAAATATAAAAATATACCAAGGAAGCACATTTCAAATGCAAAACTGAAAACAACCAGCAATAGCATCCACAGTCTGGCAATGACCAAACCAGGGTACGAGCAATAAACTACTAATAAGCATAAATAAATGCTGATGAAAGCATTCCATAAAACATAAAAGACCCTGAAAGCAAACTTATAGGAAGCTGAACTGAAGTCTATGTGCACTGTGCAGTGTGCACTAGATATACATTATGGAAGAACCCAGACTTAAATGAGATGTTGAAAATCAGAGCAAATGCCACATGTTACTTTATTTGCGTCTGGTCGGCATAAAAAAAGAGCTATCAGCTAAACAAAATTTGATGCAAATTCATTGATTACCTATCCTACTCTATGTTCTGTTCCACCCTATATTACGAAAATAACACACCAATTACCCTTACAAAAAATCAAAATATGGACTGGCCGGCCCAAACATAACGCAATACAATACTGGCGCACTTCCGACATTCTGACAAGGATTGGCATTTGACTGCGTCAATTTTGGTCTCTGAGGCGAAGGAAAGCTGTCATTGATGACGCAATAATTTTCAATCAGTTTTTCTGTCTTGGTTTTTGAATGCCTCAAAATAGCAGTTATACATGTTACAAAACCACGTAGCTGGTCGCATTTATTTCTTTTGTCTGTTTACGTCCTTATCATTTGTATGCCGACAGATGACCAGCCGGAGAGCATTACCAAGACCATCTATAAAATCATTACATTTAATTTAGCATTTACTGTCTCTTTATTTCTTAACCGGTGATTAACCTCTGAATTGTAAAACTTTAGCTGTTGTGTAAAATAATTTAATCAGAATGGCACATGAATATGCATTATACAACAGTGTTTTCGCAACAAGTTCGACTAACTACGGCCGCAATAATTTAGTCGCTGTAACATTCCTCGCAATCAGCTGTTGGTGACGCTTCTGACGCATGTTTCCAGAAATGCGTGGTTCATTGGTGGTTAGTTGCAAGGCCATATATGTTATTATAGTTGGTTTTTGCTGGGATTTTGCAAGATTTGTTTTATGTGTACATCGACTGGATGTGTAGATCGACTGGATACTCATTATTCACTGTGTCACTATTTATTTTTAACTGGAAATCGCATATCTTTTTATATCAACTTTCATTTTGATAACAATATCATTCCAGAGTGAGAGGCCTAACATTGAGAGGGAGCCAGAGTGAAATTTTGATCCTCAGCCAATGCTGAAGGGTAAGGTGAGAGAAAGATTTTACTGAACTCTTCAGAAAGGAATTTCAAATGTATTGATGCATTATTCATTTTCCACTATCCAGTGTGCACTTCCTGAGGACTTAGCATAGCAATTTCAAGTCCTTACTATTTGTTTGGCTGTCTTTTTCTGCACAGCAATGAAGCAAGTAAGGTTTATATAGCTCTAGCATTGACTCAGCTGTATTTTTTTCTTGCAAAAGTATGTTTTTAAGATTGCGGGTTTTTTGCGGGTTCGGCTCAGCCAAAATCAGCTTGCGGGTAGTTGTGGTTGGGCAAGGGGTAGCTGCGGGGCGGGGCGGGTAATGAAATTGCAAATTTGGGGCATCTCTACTTCCAATCTTATATAACTAAAGGTAATTAATCATGAATAAAGGCAAAACTGACCGCACCCGCCTGTCGGGACGTGAACCCAGCGAACCACCTTGAAATGCCGGCAACACCAAGCCGTTGGAAGCGCATCACAACAAGCAACGACAGCCCTCCCATACCCTGATATATCAGCTGTTTCACCCTCCCATCCCCTTGGTCATCCTCGCATGTCACCTTCCCATACCCTGTCACATCAGCTGTTTCGCACACCTATCCCCCGACCCCCTTTCACCCTCGCATGCCACCCTGCCATGCTCTGACGCATGCAGCTTCTAAGCAATGGCGTCCAGCTGACCGGGCCCTCGGGGAACTAACATTACACGCACGACGCAGTTCTAGGTGCCACCCTGTACCAACTCGGGAACAGATCGGACCGGTGTGGTCTTCCGACAGCCGGGCGACGCGTCCCTCTCGCCACAGCCGCCGCCCCCGCCGCCGCCCACACAAACAAACAGCCGTCGTCCGCAGCGCGGTGACTCGACACAGCCCGGTCGAGCGCCGCGGATGGAACGGTAGTCGCCTGACGAGACCGGCAGATGTGCCGCCTACCGGGCGGGCCGGCGCGGGCGACGACCCCGCCGTCGAGCGCCGCAAACCAGCCTGTGGTGCAGCCGTGGCTGGGCTGTCTACGAGTGCAACGCTAACCGAGTGAAGCGTTCCGTCAGCAACAGCCGTACTGACACGGTGTACGCTTTGAGTGGGATGTGTGTCTGGGGGGTCTGTGTTGTGTTTGAGAGGGAGGGGTCTGTGTTGTGTTTGAGGGGTCTGTGTTTTGAATGTTTGCATAGGATTCGGTGACGCGTGTTTCAGTCAGTCGGGCGGAGCCGCGTGTTTGACTTGGTGCCGAGCGGTGATCGACCCACCAACTGGTCGAGTAAAAACCCTGCGCCGTCTCAGCCCGCCCCGGGTCCGCCCTGATTCACCGGTGCGCAGTCGACGCCTGGCGACGGCCCGGCCCTGATGTAGTGATACGCGACTGACACATACCAGCCCTGCCTTCTGGGTGTTCCCTTCCGCACTGCGATACATTCTCGTCACCTGTGCTTCGACACTCTCCTCTGTACCCTAGTTTTCTCATCCCCTCTGCGTTATTTCCCTTTTGCAGTTCTCCAGTGACCCATGGTAGGAGCTCTATCCTGTCCTTCAGCGCTCTCCAATATCCTTCAATATTCTCCCACGCCCTCCGGTCTTTAATATTCTCCCCTGTACTCCGATATTTTCCCGTGATCCCTCACTCTCCCTTCCTCAGCCCCTCTCCTCTCCTCCGCTACTCTCCCCTCTCCCCCGCCACTCTACCCGTCCGTCCGGTGGGCGGCAATAACTCAGCTGTGTGCCGACCCGCTGCGGTCGGCGCTCATTTCCGGGCCGGCCCCCTCTGCAGCGGCCGGCACGAGCCGACTGACCGACCCGGGAGGAAGGGGAGGGGAGCCCACCTTGACGCCCTGTGTGTCGACGTATTCCAGGCCGAAGTAGTCCGTCTCCAGCAGGTTCAGGTGCTTGCACACCATGTCGAAGAGAGTGCGACCAGGAGACTTGAGCTGGAATGGATGAAGAAGCGTGGTTAGGTCACAGGTCATGGTAACGGTCACGGGTCAAGGGTCACGATCATGGTCACAGCAACGCGTAACAGTGGAAGACAGGTCACGGCAGCGCGTCACGGTTACATTAACGGATCACGATCACGAGTTACGATCACGGGTGACGACCACGAGTCACACTCACGGAGCACGGCAATGCGGTAGGTTCCGGTTACCGGTCAAGGTCAGGCCCCGTTTCCGTTGTATAGAGGGAGGAGCGCCGGGCCACTCCCGCGGCCCGCTGGCGTCAGAAACTCAATGGCGCGGTCGGGTGAATATTCATCAGTTAGGCTCACCACGGGGCCGATATGGGCCGGCCGTGTGACGCCGCACCTCACACACCAGAGCGGGCTGAATTTAACGCGGCCGGTCGGTGCAGAGGACGCCCCTGGGACGGAGGGCGATTGAGCGACACCGCAGGGCCGGGTCAGGGAGTGCGCTGGTTATGGCGCGGAGGGCAGGTGTCGGCGGCGGGGCTAGAGTGGGAGGATTCCAATACGAAACGGGGGAATCAACGCATCGCGGGCACAGAGTACCCACGGGTCAACCGGGCGTGGATTCATTGCCAGGCTGCCGTCACTGACGCGCTTCTGACGGGGTTTTGGGCGCCCGGACGCCAGAGGTCATCGCTGTCATCAGTGGTGCAGGACGCAGGTCCACCTTCCAATCATTCCTCCATTGAGAATCATCTCAATCCACTGGGATCTTACGGCCAAAACCCGAAAATGAAGTAATGCCAATGCCACCACGGCCCGCCGAAGTCCGTACGGCCGGTTTCCTGTCTGTCGTCACGGCGCCGGTCCGCACTGAGGAGTCAAAGTCCCTGATCCATGCCACGGCTGACTCATCGATGGCTGAACCGAGCGCAAGGGTCATCCAGCTTTGCCCAGAGTCCCGACTGATACCCAAGAGGACGTAATGCCCACTTCTTTGAGGTTGTCTAAATGAAATGATAAATAAAATATGTCATGGCACCGCGCTACCCATCATGGTGGGTAGTTCCCATCGCGGCGAGATGGCCTTTCGAGTTCCCCAGACTAGTTAATACCAAGGGGATGTGTCCTGACACCGCGCTACCCATCATAGCGGGTCGCTATCGCACCACACCGCACCGCAGTCGCAGTCGCAGCCGGCGGCCGGCACTTAGGCGCTGAATTCTTAACTTGCCGGCAATCATCGGAAAGTTAGCGGATTATTTTTGGTCGGTGCCACGGCTTGCGGTGGTACGAGGCCCTCCAGGCGCCCAGTTCCGCCGCCGCTTACCGACGAGCGTGACCGCACACGCCAGAGGGGTGCACCGATACGTGGGGTCAGTCCGTGACCTGTGTCACTTTCCAACTCTGGAGTGCCACTGGGGGGTCGCTGAAGGTGTCACCAGTAGCGGGGGGGGCGACCCGGGACGTGCCCCCGCATCTCTGAGTAGCCGACCGGCGGCCGGTGTGTGCGGTCCGGGCACGTGAGATGACATTCCGACCGACCGCGGCCGCCGACCGGCATTTCCCGCCGCGTGACGTCAGCGGTCGGTCGGTCGGTCGGTCGGGGTGGGGGGGGGGGGGGGGGCACGTGCCTGCGGCGGTACGGCAGAGGTCGTCCGGCCGGAGAGCCGGCCGACGGCCGACGACGACGCCGAGCGGGAGCTGACAGAGCGGACTCTCCACAGTGCACGACCCCGAGCCCGGATACACGGGAGTTCCAGCACTGCACTACAGAGTAATCAATGGTCGTCCAGAGTTGTTTGGTAGCAGGCCTGGTCAGGCAGACACTAACACATCCGGCCCAGTCGACAACAGGCAGGTCGGACGTGCCTCGACAGAGACGCCAGAGATGCCGCGCAAATACACGATCCTCAGAGGTCAGTAGCATAGACCACGGCCTGCCTTTGATCTTACATATGGGCCTTGCAGTCGACCGCTGTAGTTTCTCGAGCACAGTTTTATAGCAGCGGCGGCGCCACAACGCGGCCGCCGCCCCTTGTTTCGCAATTGTCCGCTGCTGAGTGGTGAGTATGCAGCCTTGGGCCGAATTAACGCAGCTGAACTGAACATCGGCCGCGACGGCAGACTGACGGCGTGACAGAACGACGTCGGCGGCAGGGGTGACGGAGAGCGGTGGGATGAGGGGGCATCTCCCCTGCCCGGAGAGTCCTGAGAGCGACAATGGACGGCTGCGTGAGACGGCAGGCAATTTGGAACGGCAAGAAACATTTGCAAAACGCCGTAATATTATCGTTATCGATTATAATCAAGTTACAATGGCAATGAGTACCATGGAGCTAGCAGTACGACCAACTGCAAATAACCGGTTAAACTGCAAAGAAACCGATTCATACCAGGAGTAACGGAAAAACGATCAAAATATGCAGCATGAATAGCCTCATTGTTTAAAGGTCAGCACAAAACTAGTTTTGCAAGCGCTTCAGCCTTTACCCGAAGTGAATATAAACGGAAAACCACTGTGGCTGTAGGGGCATTCCACGTCAAATCGAACAAAAATCGGCTGTTTTGCACCTTACCATCAGCGATTTCATTATAAATTTGTGAGCGAGTTCCTGTGTCGCCCCGGACATTACATTGATGTTTTTTGCACATTCTGACCACAGGTCTTCTAAATATAGGGCATCAAATTTTTACAAAATGTTGCATCTTTGTATTTTTGAACGACCATAACTTTGGTTGTACTTGTTTGATTTGAATGAAATAAACCTTACTGTTTAGGTAATTTCTTAAGCATTTGTTTAGAATTGCATCGACTTAAATATATGACCTTGAAATTTGCTTAACTCTGTTCTTAAGCACAAAAATTGAAATAGCAAAAAACACGCCACCTTCGATTTGGCTCATTTTCATATAGTTTATTGCCTACCATATTCTTAACAACCTGTGAAAAAATTAGAGTGGGCCATTCATAAGTTTTGAAGAAAATGGCACATATGCAAACGTATGTTAGCACGCGCAGTGGAGGGGGAAGAGTGAATTTCGCCCCACCCCTCCTGTTTTTCGCCAATATCTCATAATATTGATGCGAAATTACTTATGGCTACCTGTCCAGAATTGAATTGCACATCTCATCGTGCAAGCAATAAGAAAATCGGTTCACAACTGTTCTAGTAATAGCGGTGTAAGTGAACATCCTGTCGCCGCGGCGACTCGGCAGCCGGCGCCGACCGCTACGCGCCGCCTGAATTGTAGACTGTGCCGGGACGGAACGGAACGGTTCCGTCTTTACATCGCGCTCCTTACCGCTGATTACGTTCGATTCGCGTCAAATTTTGTGAGAATACTAAGAAATGTACAGGCAATCTTATGGTGAAAGAATTCTGAAAATAGGTTGGTAAACAAATGAAATATGAACGTGTAAACACAAAATTGTGACTGCTGCGTTTCCCGCGTCGGCCGATCCCGCCTCAGCCGGCGACATGCTACTCTTAGCAGGACTCTAGTCTCTAACTGCCATATTTATTATCGGATTAACTAGAAATTCCCCATACATACTCAAAAATGTATGTTCTTTCGTATAGTGAAGATCAAAAGACGTGAAGATATCGTTGCGTGATAATGTTTTCGTTGAATTTATTTCATGATGCATTTCCACACGGCTCAAAATTCACCGCAAAATTACGTTTGCCTGAGACACTTTTACAATGGAACGTGAATGCTTGACTACGATGACTATGCATTTCCATTCTCGCAGAGTTTGGGATATCACTAATCAGCAATCATTCATTTCAGAAAGTGTACACAAGCAAGCATGTCTTGACTCTGTCTTTCAAGGTCACGCGCGGTTGCGTGATGTTGATGCATGAAAACGGCGTTTGCCGCGAAAGTTATGAATGGCCCACTCCAATTTTTTCACAGATGGTTAGGAACATTGTGACGGACATAATATGTAAAAATTACTCAAATCGAAGGTGGCGTGTTTTTTGCTATTTATTTTTTTTTTCTTTTTAATTCAAGGTCAAATGCATTTCAAGGTCACTTCAATTTAATTTTATAATTAAAAATCAAAGCCTTATCAATTGCCTACAAGACCCTGTTAATATCATTTTGATACCAGAAAAGGAACCAGAGTTATAAGCATTTTAAAAAAATGATGTGTGGCATTTTTGGCTATATTCGATGACCTATATCTCGGCGATACGTTATCAAATTTCGAAAATATTATACGTAACTCAGTTTTGAACCATGCCCAGTCTGCCTACAAATTTTCAGAAAAATCGAAGGGGATGACGGATTTCGGTGTTTGATTTGACGTGGAATGCCCCTGTATTCCATCAAACGGCCAAACGTATTCACTACAAAGCTCAGTGCAAAATAGAAACACGCGTCTTGAATGGATTGGCAATCTCTGCACGGGCCCATCACATTTGTGCGAGGTGTTTCCCATCACCGCTGAAGCGGGACACGTGTCATGGACAGAAATTCCAGGCAGTGATTAATACACAGGGGCCGGTAACGATCGATAGATCGGGGCGATCCTTCAACAAAGCATTTACTATTTAAACCCAAGTGCCTCGGGGCCCTTACGTCCGTCCATGTCACGCCAACAGAGCGCAAGCCGATCTATCGTGCCGAGGGCGCCCATCTCTATGACCCGGGTGCCCTCTGTACGCGGCACCGTCACAGTGTCAGAGTCACCTTCGGCCCCGGCCCGCCGCCATCACCGGCGGGGGCGGGGGCGGGGGCGGGGGCGGGTGACGACACCCGCGCCGGCCGGCCGCCCGCCTCTCCAACACGTCACACCACCGCTCTGAGCACGCCGGTGATCCATCACCTGACCGGGGTGTGAGTGTGGGCGGCGGCGACAGACGACGGAGCTCAGAGGGCCGCCGCGGCGCCTAGCGGGACGGGCCGTCACCTCCCGCCGGTCTTACTACCATACGGGGAGAGCACCCGGTGGGATAGTCGTCACATTTCTCCACATCCCACGCCAACCAATCATCCCACAAAGCAGCCGGCACCAGC